CACTAGAATTAAAAACCATTAGATCTAGTATGCGTTTGACAAGTTAGTTGACAGCATGTTGACAGTTATTCGTTGTTCCCGATTCTTTTTTGAAATTAAACTTAAAATATTAAGCCCGTTTTAGGTGTTTATCAATTAAAAAAATGGAAGACGATGATTACATGAAACTAACACCTCCTGAAATCTGCGACGCTGCTAAAGTGGCGTCGATGGAATTATTACCTGAAATATCGAGGAAAAATTATGAGATTGCATACAACAAATGTATGTCGTGGAAACAAACAAAACATGTATCCTCTTTTTCCGAAGACACTGTACTTGTATATTTTATGGAAATTTCTAGTAAATACAAATCGTCTACTTTATGGACAAATTATTCCATGCTAAAAAGCTTGTTAAATATCAAGCACAATGTCGACATTGATAAATATCCGAGATTACGTGCTTTGTTGAAAAGACGATCCGAAAATTACGAATCTAAGAAATCTGAAGCTCTAACTGGTGAATAAATTGAGAGGTTTATAAAGGAAGCCCCAGATTTTAAATATCTTGGAACAAAGGTAAAAACTCGAATCGAAAATCAAAATTCTTTAACTTAATCTACACATTTTTTTAAGGTTGCCTTGATTATGGGGGTCATGGGTGCTTGCTGATCCTGTGAATTAAAGAATGTAAAAATTGGGGATTTAAGATGTTTTGAGGGATGTTTTCAAGTAAACGTGCCACACAAAAAACCAAAGTCCCAAGGAATTTCACAATTGTGGATAATTTTTTCAAAATCGTTAAAAAATATATAGACCTCCGGCCCGAAAATGCGCCACAATATTTTTTCTCAATTTCCAAAAAGGAAAGTGTACAAAACAAGTGAATAAACAAGTTTAGCGCAATGGGAAAGCAAATTGCTACGTTTTTACAATTACCAAACCCTGAGAGATATACTGACCATTACCTCAGGCGTTGCAACATTGGTTGCTGATTCTGGAGCTTCAATGACAACATTAAAACGTCATGGAGGCGGGCAGAAGGGTACATCGCCAATTCAAAAAAGAACAAAATAGAAACAGCTCAATTAATTTTAAGTCAAATCAATAATGAAAATTGTGTTGTCTTAATAATCCATCATCTTCTGACAGTGATCGTCATGATTCTGTAATCATCAATAGCAACACTAATTTTTCTTTAAAAAACAATAATCTCAATGATATTACCGGAGCTATTAATATTTCAAATTGTAATGTTACTATTAATTACATCAATAAATAACTTTAAACGAGTTCCTGTATATATATTGGCGTTTTATTTCACACGGTGGCTTAAATACTCCTCATTTTAAAGGTCTTTTAATTGTGAACAATCTTGTCAATTCTATTTATAACAACTTCAAAGAATTTTTTCTAAAAATCCCCTTTTCGTTTTCGGTTGTAGATAAAGTATAGTATTCAATTCTTGTATAATGGACCATACTACACTCGAATATTTACAACACTCGTTTAATATGGTCAACATTATACACTTATTGAATAATATACTATACTACTACAAACAAAAATTGATAATTCATTAACAGATTGAACACTGCAAATAAATATACTAATTCTTATACATATACTTTTTTTTTAATTTCTCCGTTACGGTCCATGTTAGAAAAATAATTTTCGATCGTGTGTAATTTGATAGGTTTTAGTATTATTATTCTATTTTAAAGATTTTTTTAAGATTACTATTTCAGCCATAAAACTATTTATTAGTTTTAAATAACAAAGTTCATCCACCATAATTTAAAATAAAAAAGCGCATACACCATAATTTTAAATATCCCTGCGTTATCATCAAATATTTTGCGCTTCTGCCAAAATTTTAAATTACATTATTTCGTCGATTTTCTTTTAAGCATACTTGAATAGTTTTATTTTGTACAGTTATTTAACAATTGTTGAACTTCAGGTTCAATTTCTGCAGGAAAAGGTATTTAAAACTGTTTAAAATTACATTGTAATCACGGATAAGACAAATATTTACTACTACAAATTGATGCATCACCATATTAAAAATGTCATTTTAAGCTTTGCTTATTTCTTAACGACTAGAGGTTCAAATGGCTCTAAAAGTAACAGATTTGATATAATTAATATACTTATTTGCAGTTTCCACGTTGCTTTCATCTATTTAACGTTTGCGTATTTTTTTGCCTTTTGAATTGACTTAATTTATTTTTAAGATTTTCTAGACTATAGTTTTGTTTTTTTTTGTAGTTTTCAAATAGATATTTTTTTGTCATTAATTTTAGTAGGTCTTTGGTTATTTTCTTACTTACAGCGGCATTTACAAATTTTTATTTGTTTTTAATATATGTATTGAAAGTAGAAATGTTTCTGTCATATCTACATTATTGTTTACCTGTTTTAGATCCTTTCTTAAATTAAGATAATTAACAAATGTTTTATATTTAGTTTAGTTTGAATTATTAAAAATAAATGATTTTTTTAATGCAAAGATTACTGGATCATGATCTTGGGGGTTACACCGAAATTTATAAATTTATTTCGCTAAATATCAAACGTAGACGTACGGTGAAAAAACTTAAAGTTTAAATGTGAACTATAGTATGGGTAAGTTTAGGTGCTAAAAATACACTTTTATTATTATAATAAAACGGAGAAATTTGTAATATAATGACCTTCAGCTTGCGTACTCCGTTCAAATCCCTTATCCAACTGAGAGCAGACTGAAAGTCAAAGAGTCTTATATGACAGACAATAAGAACCGTATTATAGTGAGAGATGTGGCGTAAATTCAGTTCATAAATCGAGTTGAATAGCGTGGAATGTAACTTTGTTTAATTAAACATTTCCTTTGCTTCTAAAATGAAGTTTTAAATTATTTCAAAGACTTGAGAACTATGAGGTAAGTAAGTAAACCATTATAGTTTTGTTGGCAAAGTGTTTTAAATTAAAATTAGTTTATAATGAACTTAATTATATAACAATGCCACTAAAATTGTAAGAATTTTAAAGGTAAATTAAATTTGGATCTCGTTCATTTTCTTTAAATTTTATTATAATATTATATAAGTCAAAAGAACCAACTTTGTTATGGACACCAAATTCACAGCTATAAAGGGTGATCAGGTTAATCAAATATAAAATATAAATAAATCAACAAACATATTTAATTTCCTACTATAACTGCAGCACCAGTTACACAAAATGTTTGGTAGAAACTGGAACAAAACAAAATGTAAACATAACCTTAAAAATAATAGTAAATGTTTTACCTGGAGCTTGGAGACGTGTTTAGTTAACAATCATTGAATTGACATACATACTTTCGATTTATTGATATCACGGTTTTATTTAAACATGGTTTTTAAATAAACATAATTAAAATTATCTTATGGTGAATTTTAGAGTTTGATAACTTGATTGGAATCATCGAGATAAAATAATGTAGAAAGGAAATAAACACTATTTTGCAATATGACAAGTGAACGCACTTTGAGTCGTATTTTGATTAATTTGACGTTAATACAGTTCATCAAATTTCTAGAGGCTTTCGACGGCTAGACAGAGAAAGCACTACTGACAGGCATACCGACGGATTTACGCAATGAAAGTACACTCTGCGCATCAAGTATTTCACTATTTCATTCAGATGTAAATGTCAGATGTAAATTTCGCTAAAACATTTCTTTTATTTTCGTTTGTGTTTTTTGCTCATTACAGTTTAATAGAACCTAAGTATGGAGTTTAATAGCAAATTAAGAGGCCGCGTGATTAACAGTCAATCTCGCGAAATAATAGCCAATGTTATAGAGTTTATGAGAAGAGAAGGAAACTTTAATTCACCTTCAATACCATTTAAAAATGTAAATGATCGTGTTGCTGCAGCCACAGGAGTATCTAAAAACACTGTCGTCCGCATTTCTGGAGAGAAAAAAAGAATCGATAACCGTGAGATATCGGAATTTTCATCACCAAGAAAAACCATTAAAAAACCAAAAACAGTTAATGATATAGATGAAGCTGCACAAGAATCAAATTTTATTTTTTTATTATTAGATAGCTATTTTTGTTTCTGAGTTGTGTTCATTTACAGGCTCAATTTTTTTCCGTTTCTCCTTTTTGATTTTATATGGGGTTTCAAGTTGTTTTTGACTTATTTCGACGTAAATCACAACAACACACTTTTTTAATAAAGCAAACAAGTGTTAAGAGGTATATGTACGTGTAAACTACAATTGCAAAAAATTCATATGAAACCCATGAAACCACCAACAAAAATGTAAAGCTAGCTTCCGTACTAGAACATGGTGTCATTCGCCGAGATAATTTATCGTTTTGTTTAATAGATCAAGAAATGTAAATATTCCCCTGTTATTTTTTATAAAATTATAAGAGAAATAAATTTTTTTCTAAATAGTATAGTTTATTATTTTGTAGAAAAACAAAATTTCGAAAATTTTAGTAATGTTTCAGAAACAACCGTTATTAATAATAGGTACCATTTTTCTTAATAAGGTAGAAATAAAATATAAACTATTTCCACGATTTACAAAGGCCTACAAAAAAATTATAGGTATTTTCCGCTATCCTATAAAATTTATATTTTCTGACTCAATTTCAAAAGGTTGAAGGAATTCCAAAACACCTTTTATGGCATAATAATTATTTTCAATTCTACATACTATCTTTAGCTGCTTTTAAAAACGTTCTAAGAAAGTCCAATCAGACCAATTTAATCCCTAAACTATTCCACACTTTTAAAATTTAATTATAATACCTAAAAATATTAAAAACTATTTAAAATAACTTGTTTAGCAGACTGTACAATAGCTATCTTAGTCACACGTAGCGCATTCTCTGTCTGAGCGTCGAACACCTCTAGAAATTTGATGAACTGTAATTTTATATTTAAAGATTGACTAAAAATACTAAATCTAGAATAAGCTGCCTAACCTATACAATAAGGCGTTGGTTATTATTTGACTAAAAAGTAACTACAGTAAATAGAACAGGCGAGAAATGGTGGGGATGTTTTCCAAAGCCACCTGTTTTGCCGCTTCTGGAAACTCTGGATACTGGAACTCCATCCTTCGGCGTCAATCTGATGTGGACCGACGTCGCGCATAGACGCTAACTATATAGCGGCGGAATATTTTTGCGTTCTCAAAAGTTTGCGCGCGTTGTTTTGCGAGTTTGAAACTATTTTGACTGTTGTTGCGTTCTTTTCACGAAAATGTGTGAATTATTTTAGATCAAGTGCAGGTTAGTGATTTTTAGTGCTATTAAGATTTTAAATTAATTTGAAATAAAATAATATCAAAATTAAATATGTACATATTTAGTTTTTTCTTAGAAGATTGATTCTGGATTTTATATTTTGTATTTACAGTATTTAAAAAATTATAAATATTTTTATTTAATTGTATTAAATGTTTAGTTTTTTAGTCTACATTATAAATAATAAATAAAAACAATGGTGAATTTCACTTATACAATCAAATATTGTTTTACCATAGAAGTAAAATTGAATTATTTAAACTTACTATCACTACTCAGTTTAACCAGAAAATACGTGCAGAAGAAAATTTGAAATATTATTGGAAGTTTTTGAACTAAATTTAATGAAATTTAAAAAAATATTAAATAAAATAAATATAATTAATAATAATTTATTGTTTTTTAATTAAATTTAGGAAAAATAAAATACTCCAAAGTTTAAAATATTAATATATAATTTAAAAAAATAGTAATTTATATACTTTTCATCGTTATTTTAATTTATGTAGATACTAAATTAGAATTAAAAATATTTAATTTGTTTAAAAATTGTTTATTAAAAAATTATGGGCTTTAATAGCAATTTTCAGTAAATGATGAAACTTTTAAATTATTTTAGATTTTAAATATTTAAATTTCATTAATTAATATAAATATCTATGAAAATTTTCTTTCGAAATGTTTTAAAATAAAATACTTTGATTAATTTTATCAGAAATGTATGTTTAAAAACAGTTTGTTCTATATTATTTTGAATAAGTCAGTGCGGTGCATCTGTTAGTGTTGACAAAAGGAATTTTACTATACCTGATTTTGCGACTAAATGTTATTCTTTATAAATAAAAGGACCCCGCACTTTTCTTATGTAAAATGGCGACCTCTCACATTTTCTGAAACTTTGGTATGTTGTAGTAACCAAAAGTGTTAATGGACCCAAATCAATCCTATGACTAGTTTTTGAAATACGGGGTGTTACATGTTTTAGTAATACCTAAGTATATACGTACTTTTAAAAATATTTCTAATTACAGGGTTATTCACAAATGTATGATGGAAGTTTTTTGCATAAACTCACTAATGCTACTGTGACGTCAGGGAAGCATATTTTTTAAAAGTACTACTCAATGTAGTATAGTATAGAGAAAACCACAACATATAATTATATCTTTAATTTTTGGGGAAGGTATTACCATTTAAATGTACCTTTAAGCTTAAAAATATACAGGGTAATTTATTTGTTGGAAAGTATTCTATTTTAACCTCAGAATCAGGCTATTATTGTTAGTATTTGCCATTAATATTATTATTTATAGCGTCAAAAATAATAAATATTTAAAAAGATCGATAATTACCTAAATTTTTGGGGTGGCTCGTTTTCTGTGATGCAAAGTGTAGTATTAGGTAGTAACATCAAAGGTCAAGGATGCTTAAATGTAAAAATATCTATCTTAATAAATAATTTATTCGAAAATCCATAAAAGAATGAAAAATAAATTAGCATACACTATTATCTTCCATCCCCCCTTAAACTAACAAACATTATTTAGTTCACACATGATATTTATATAAGACAATGGTAAAAATGTCGTTAATAAGAGTGTTACAGGAAAAACAAGTTAATATAGAAACCATTTTTTTCCAAAATATTACTATTATTATTTTAATTGAGTAAATTTCTACTTTCATAAAACCCCAAAAACTACAGTCAAATGGGTTAGCTTCTGGGTCTCTGTATGGTCAAGAAATATGTCCAGGATGCTACCAGGACATAAGGACAAGAAATAATAGTAATAACAATACATTAACTGCTTCAAATAATATAACAAAAAATTTGATATTTAAAAAATAATTATATCTCTCCGACATCCTCTCTCGAGTTGTTTCAGTGTGAAACGTGGAAAAATTAATTGACAGTATAATAATTGCTTTTATCGTTGAATGTATTTACTGATTAGATACAGTGAAGTAAATTTATCAATTAATATTGAATATTCTTTGAATCCATTATCATTATCAATCACTGCGAAGGTTATTTCTTATTTTCCATTAGTTGTCTGTGCGATATGCTATTAATTTGTAAATGAATTTGATGTTGTGAGGTTTCTGAGATTTATAAAAATCAATGTTTTCTATTTATTCCTAAAATATTTAAAAAAAAATACAGTAATCATATTACAATGGGTAAAAATCCAGCTGACAAACTCATATTAATAATAAAATTAAACCAATTAGCAAAGACTAAAGAAATAAATCAAAAATGTTAGGTTAGGTAGTGTCAATTTTCAAGGGTCACTTCGATATTCTGTGTTTATGTTTATACTGATAGGTCTATTTCCGATGACGTGCACATTTCAAATTTGAAATTACAAATGATTTTACTTTAAAAACTTTTGCCTTTATTTAGAGTAATTTATTACAATATAATTTATAAAACAGCATATCTCAAACAATCAAATATTTTAAAAACTGTAAAATAGGCCAAAAATAAAATTATAATGATCATTCTGTAATAACAAAATAGCAGATTTTTAAGAATCCAACGTGCAAACATCATCAAAATACTTCGTCAACTCATATCATCAACAGAAAGAAGCAACCGTAGTAGTTTACGAATCATGCTGTTTATTTTATAAATCTTCAGTGTATTTTCTTTCAAAAGTCATTACTCAAATTTTAGTGAATTATGATTGTTATTCTTATCCCATCTGATTTATTAAATGTTGGTACAAAAAGTTTGTAGAACGATCTAAAATTTAGATTATAAACATTTATTGAACTGTATAATGCTGAAAATAGAAAATCTCATGTACCTGGTCAAATAAAACCAATCGGTCTTGTACTTTATGAAATTCGATAGGGAGTTTATTTTCATATGCTTTCTCCTGCTTGACTATCAAAACAAAATGTATAATTTCAGGAACATTGTGCTTTCAGAACAAATTTTTTTATTGCACTTATATTTGAGTCTAATCTATTAAGATCCAAGTGATCACTTCGAAAAACTGAAACGAACTGATCTCTGCTTTTCTATTCATGGTGAATGTAATCTTCCCAGCTTTAACGTTACTAACTGTTATCTGTTACTTTTTGCTATTGAATATACGTCTACGAGTAGGGTTTCCTCCTAAATGCAATCTATAAAATAAATAGTACAAATACATTTTTTATAATTTTTTTTTCTTTGAGATCTGCGGCTTTTTAAAGTGGTCTATCCAACTCGAGCTCTTCCACCTGAAAAACACATATTCTTACTTAAAAAAATCTGCCAAATCAGTCAAATACGATTCACAAGTTCGTGAGTTAATCCGGAATTTGGAAATAGGCAATTTTCCAGAAAAACAAAAAATGTTCAATATAATATTCTTTTTTACATATTTGCTTTTAAATCCTTAATGTAACTCAGATTGATATAAAATTTCAGCACAATATTATTCATACTTTCCGTAAGAAGCTTATAATAAAAATGTAAATACAATTGAGGCCTCAAGCATTTTTTTTTAGAAATACGTGAAGTAAATTTTCTTGAACTTGTAGCATAAAATAAGCGATCGATAAAACATTGTTTATGATTATAATTGAAAGGCAAGAAAAAAATGGCAAATCACCAGATTCTCTGAAGAAAAATAATCACTATTAAAAATGAATCAATAGACACATATCTTAGATTGTTTTCTAAATTCATTTAAGACTAAAAGAACATAGACAATTATTTCCATTTAGAAAATACGAAACAAAAATAAAATTAAAAAAACCACTATAATCTAATACAAAGTTTGTTCGGTCTTGTTTTAACGCCTAAAATTAATCATCAGTGTTGTCCTACTTCTTCTTCTTCTTCCTGCAACAATGACTCTTTCGAGATTTAAGAATTAACCGTCAACTTCTAATTTTTTGTGTTACATAAAGGGATCTTTGACACTGTGGCCTTGTTAACGTTTTACTAGATTGCAACCGGCGGTTTATTTTTCCATAAAAAGGGCTAGAATATTGCCAAGGGTTATTTCAAGAGTATCTATCAAATTCAGCGAAAAATATGCTATCCTCAAATGATAGATGATGTGGGTTTAAGAGGAAATATTGTAGATAATAGCGAACAAAATGGTATTAATCAAACAATATTAAAAGGATATAATGAAAATTATTTTTCTATTGAATTTAGCATTTATTTTAACAAAAAGATCGCAGCGCCGTTAGTACTTATAACTACTGTATACCTACAATGAAAAATTAAACCGTTGTAGCAAAAATTAAACAATATGTCATCACTAAATTAAAAAAAAGCGTATATGTAATATTGTTAATTTTCAAAATAAAGCAGATAAATATTACACGTGTATTTGCAAATCATTTACAGAAATAATTTAATATCCACCTACTAAATACTATCAATTCCAGTTTTGAATATTCATTACATGAATATATATGATATAATATTGTATTTAGATTGAACGCGTACAATTTTTTATTGAGACTCCTACCTATGGTGTAATGGTATTGCATTAGCGCCAAAAAAACATTTCATCTACAGGAGTGCGTTTAGAAACCACGCACGGCGCGTCTGGACCCTATTCTAATGTATGTGGTGAGACGCGCCGTGCGGGGTTTCTAAACGCACTCCTGCTATTCGTTCTTATACGTCAAATTAATAAACTATTTAAAGTTTTTTTTACGTCTTTTAGAGGATTTTTTTTTTATTCATTACACATTGCACGTGCGTCCAACTAAGGCGGTAAGAAGTTCTTTAGGAACATAAAGTTCGGAATATCCTAGGGTATCAAATTGGAACCCTTGCTGTTTTCGATATACATTAACGGCTTCTTGTAAGTTAAATTAAAGGGCGAAATTATAAGTTTTCCCACAGATGCCGCTCTTGTATATACGAGTACATCACGAACTAGGGCAAAGATAAGAGTTGTTACAGAAACACAATTCCACATCAATGGTAAATGGTTTCGGTGAAATAGTCTTACTTTAACTGTCACGGT